ACGAAACGGGAATGAGGAGAACAAAATGTTCACTTGTGTTGGCGAATTTTCTGGAGCGAGATCTAACGCTGAATACAGTGTTTCAATTGAGTCTGCGGTTTTCTTCTCGAATGTTTTTCTGCCTCTAATCTAGCCCACGCAGGCGACTGGCTGTTGGAGAATGAGAGGCACATTAGAATGGGACACATGTGATACGGGCGCTAGACGAGCTTCCTCGCTGTATTCCGCAATTCAACGTTTACACGCCTTTCCGTTTCCTTCTGGCAATCTGCAAAGGTTTTCAAATATTTTTGCTACGTTCATTAGATTTTTGAAAGTACACTGAAAATTCAGGAATATATGTGCATGAATTTTCTGGTTTTCTGTTCATTTTCAGGGAAAAATGAAACTAAAGTTGACAGTTCTCTTTGATTTTTCCACGAAATTGTTGATTTTCAATGACGAAATTCCTTAAAATATCCAAAAAGTGTACCGGAAATTTCAGACAAAATTTTTTAACAGTGTAATGAGTTTTGGGGCTTCACACGTGAATTCCATGAAAATGAAACTTTTCCGGTAGGCGGTTGTATTGCGCTCATTGAAATTGTTGCATAAGCCTCGGCTCCTCTCATTATCCTTATTTTTATCGCTCTCATGCTCAAACTCTTACTCAAGCCCTTTTGTAAAAATAGGGGAGAGAGGTAACTGAGTCATTGGGGGATAAAATTCAGTGCTTGATCCATTTTCTCGTATTTCACGGATTAATTTATCCACGGTTTAATTCACAATCTCATGGGTTCGCGGATACTCGTTTTACTCAACTCCCTTCGGATCGTCGCGTTAAAGATATATATATATATATCTATATATATATAGATATTCGTTCCAAATATCTCGGTCAGCCTCCGGTATCTCTCCCTCGTTCACTTTTACCGTGCGCGCGTAACTCTTTTGCGCAAACCTCTCTTTTCTGGACCTGTGGACCACCTCGAATAAGGTCTGGCACGACACCATAAATTAAATCGACAGAAAAAGTCATGTTATATACTGATTCGGGGAAAAAACACCTACGAGTTTCCCTTTGAACTTACAAAATCGTTGATAATTCCTCGAGTTGTGAAAAAAAAACGGTGGAACGGGGAGGGAGACTCTTTTGATGTGCGAGGAAGTACCAAATCATTCTCTGAATGAAAAGAAATTGGGAAAGTGGAGTTGTCGAGTGGCAGAAGTTGAAGTTTTCATGAGGACTTTTCTGATTGATTTCACGAGTGGGCAAGAGAGGTACACGCTGTTAGAAAATTACTCCTGAAATTTCGAGTGAAAAATCTTGGATTGTTTAACTATCACTCATTCACACGAAATTCTCATGTATTTCGTTCAGGGATGACCATCAATAGTATATTTCTTCAGTATTAAACGGAGTTGGGACTTACATTGATAAATGTTTAAATATACTAATCAAAATTTAAGAATAATATAATGTCAATAGTTAAAATTTGAATTTTTCAATTAATGATTATGTGAATAATTAAAAGTTTAAGAGAAATGTTAACTAATTAGGAGCTTCAAAATTTAACGGTAATTATGATTTATGAGGATGGCTATCCCGAATTTCGTTATTGAAAAATCAGTTGAATTCTGGAGTATTCAATGCAACTGCAATTTTCAGGTCCACCTGACAATGAAAATTCATAAATAATTTTAAAATTGAAGCAACAATTTCCCTGAATTTTCAATCCACTGATAATTCAGTTGGGGATATGATGTTCAATTTCATTTTTGCGGAAAGCCTTAGGTTTCAAGATGTTTGAAAAGACAGAAGAGAGATTCCTTCAAGGGGATTGATTTATGCTGTGACTTCACTTCGGATAAATTTATTCTACCGCTTCACCTCAGGCGAAATTATTCATAAACATCTAAATGTGTGCGAGAAGTAAGGAAGGTTCCGGGGAATTTTTTAAAAGATCTCATTCTGCTCTGGAACTTATGTTTTCACAAAAAATATTTTCAACTGGGGCCACCTCTTTTTGCTTTATCGCTCCACTTCAGAATGAGTTTTTGATAAGCATCTAAAAATCCAAAGGAGCTGGGTAAATTCTCACAAGGGCGTCCTTGGAGATCTCCCTTTTGCGCAAAAACGTCTTCAGAAAAAATTCAGCTGTCTCTCTTACATTCCAAGCGATTTTCAAGAAACTATCAAGTCTTCGAGTGAAATCAACTTATTCTGCTTTTCACCACTCGACTTCGGGATGATTTTTTGAATGAATATACTAAAATCTAAAGGAGATAGCACAATTCGTCTCTCTTTTTTACAGGAAAGATTTTCCCAAAAATTCAGCTATCTCTCTTAGATTTCACGATATTTCCTGAAAACTACAAGATCCTCATACGAAAAAAAGTTCATTGAATCACTTTAATTTGAGTTAAAAATGAATGTTTTCGATTTTAAGTGGTATGATAATAGTATTATATTATATTACGAGTACCTAAAGTTTCACTTTTTCGTATGCACGTGTAACACACCCTATTTTCTTCTAACATCTCCTAAATTTACTTTTGGAGGGTGAAGGGTTTCGTTTTTTGCCATCTCCCGATTAAAAAATCTCTTGAGTCCCAAAATATTCCGAAGAATAAATTCCCTCAATAGTCCTTACCGTATAAAAAACGCTCATCACCAAAAATTATGAAAACCCAGGAATTGAATAAAATTAATGAAACAGACATTGCCAATTACCTCCAGCTAATTAAGCCTTCATTACGAACCGAAATAAAAAAACCTATCGAAATGAAAAAACTTCATGCAGAATCGAAATTCCCAAGTGAAAAAAGACCTCGAAGCGCAGCCACATGTCGTCATACCGTAAGAAGGGGGCTTTTGGGTCGGTAAAATAGTAATGAAAAAAAAAACCGACACTTCGGACCCAGAAGCAGTCAAGACCGTTGTCAAGCCGGCCGGGTAAAGACAGCGTGGTAACAACGCGGCAAAGGGGTGCGGGGGGGGGGGCG